TTATTACTAGTCACAGTCGGTTACTTTCTGAGCTCCTTGGCATCTGAACATGGATATAAAGTTATCAGGTAGATTTCAATGGTAATGTTTTTCACATCTAATTATTAAGGAGCAAATTTTTATGCTTTGAAGAATTATTATTTTTTTAATCATTGTTTTTTTAAATTTTTAATAACTACATGATTAGAAGAAGCATTTCACTACAGCTTTAACATATTTAGTAACACACTCCAGAGCAAGAGTACATCTCTTTCACAAGTGGATGTAAGTTTCTAGTTAGGTTTTTAAGCCAATGGTTTAAACTTTTTTTTAAGGGAAGGAAACCCTGATTTGCACATTACAAACAACAGAACTGCCCCAGTGTCAGATGCAAGCAGAGTATATCATTCTGTGGACGGCAGTTATAAGTCTAGAAAACAAAACAAAACAAAAGAACAGCAAAATGACCTTTCCTTCTAGTTTCATGAGCTAAACAGCTTAACATCCCCAACAAGTTGAACAAATACTTATCTTGGGTAGCCGTATTTATAATCAACACTTTGTGGGTTTCATATTCTTCTTTGAGGATTTCAATTTTTTTTTCTCTCTCTCTCTCTCTCTCTCTCTCTCTCTCTCTCTCTCTCCCCCTCCACTTCAATTCCCAGGGTCAAACTATTATTCAAGACCTTGACCTCCATTTTCCATGGAGAATGAAGATGTTATAGTAAGAAAACCTGATGACACCTTCCACAAATTACCATTCTATTCTACTTTTTATAATGGAATCTGCAGATTGAGTGACCATTTGAATGATCCAACTTAGTTTATCTTGCAACCCAGTATGTTAAACTTCTTCCCCACATTTTTTATTAGATTCCCCCCCCCATTTTTCGTGTGTATGTATGTGTGTGTGTGTGTGTGTGTGTGTGTGTGTGTGTATGGAGGCCTGAGGAATCATCCCCCATCCCCTGAGGCAGGGTCTATCAATCTAACCCAGAGTTTGCCTGTATGGCTAATCCTGCTAGCTACTTTGCTGGGGGATTCCAACTCTGCTTTCTGAAGTTGGAGTTACAGGTGATATTCCATGCCCACTTGACATCTACGTGGCTCTGGGGAGCCAAACTCCAGTCACCATGCACAGCACAAGCTTTAAGCACTGAGCTCTCTCCCAAGCCTCATTTTCTCAACCTTTCTACAATTCTCACGATCTCTTCAAATGTGCTCTATCATTTGTGACAGTGACTGACACCTTTCACTTGGCCTTCCTGGATGCGTCCTTATCACCGATAGTCTTGATAGATGGTCTAAATCAAGCATCACCCGATGTTCTGTTTGCCTCTCCAAGTTCTTGCTCCATCCACCTTTGCCACTGGACTCTAGCTTAAGAGATCCGTCTCTTTAACTGGATTGTTCATACTCACTCAATAGTTTCCGGTTTGATTTTGTGGGTGAATCTTACTGACCAGCAACTGGTGGGTGGATGTTAAGCGAGAGATGGTATTTATTTCTGGGATAGTGCAATGGCATTCTCCTTCCTAAACTCATGACTATTTGAGGCATTTCTTCTCCTATAACTATGTATATTTTTCTGAGTTTTGTTAAGGGTTACCTCTCCTACCCCTTGAGGCCCAAGGAGGGTAGAAGCTTCCAGTGATTTCTAGACCCAGGATTGTTCATCCTCCCTTCTGTCTATGTGCAACTTATCCACAGACTCTCAGCGGAGCGCATGCAATCGTATTTGTTCTCTCTTTGTCTAACCTGCCAAGGTTGTGATGAATGCACCTGCTTCTTATAAAGAAAATGAGGCTTGAATCTGCCACCATCCCAGAGGACATGCTCCACTCAGCATCCAGGTAGCTTGTCTCTGTGTGTTGGTGAAGGGTGTGTGTAGAATGCAGCCACAGCAGGCAGGCCAGGATGTTTGTAGAGTGTAGCAGCAGCAAGCTAGCCTCGTGGAACTCTGTCTAGCTTTCTGCTAAACTACCTGCCAGTGCTTCTGATTTGGGGTTCTAGATTCATTGGTGGTTTCAGTCTTCAGGTGCTGTAACACTGATCTCCACTTATATTCAATGGGACATGGTGGGGCTAGGCTGGGACTGATGGAGAAGCAGAACAGACCCCAGCCCTGCCCAGCACCCTCTGCGTGAGCAGTTCCACTTTCATCTGATTGAAATTTGCAAACATTTGAGCTTGAAGGCAGAATCATGATTTAAAAAAAATGTTAAGAACTTCTGATATTATAGAACACATTTTTGCAAACATTTGAGCTTGAAGGCAGAATCATGATTTAAAAAAAAAGTTAAGAACTTCTGATATTATAGAACACATTTACTTCACAGGTGGTGAAAAATTAAAATTTAGGGTTGTTCATCCTAAGGGGCAAAATAACAGATGAACGAATGC